TCCCAGAATTCCCTAGCCAGCCATGCTGGCTGAGGAATTCTGGGAGTTGAAGTCCACGCATCCTAAAGTTGCCAAGGTTGAGAAACACTGATCTAGGCTATAATAACAGAATCTTAAAAGCCTGACCATGTTTCCCTTTCTCTCCTCTTGTACCAAACACAATCAAAGCAAGGCAGTCTTGAGTTTCTTTCTCACACTTTCTTGTTTTCCCGGGCTGAGCTCATGTTTTGCTAACAGTGGCCACATATTTTCTCCAAAGCCGTCTCCTTGTTCCTCTAAAATATCATACATTTTAAGACAGTGTTCTCCAGTGAGCCCAAGACTGTGAATCCAAGAAGCCCGTGCTAATAGGGAATTTCATTTTCAGCCTAGGAAATGGAGCCTGAACTAAAGGTGGATGCTGCTGGGCTCAGAACAACAGGGAAATCAGAGGCGGCAGGAAAAAAAAATTGGGGTGTCATCCCGATTGAAATAGGGAGTTATTGGCGGGCCCTCCCCCCAAAATTGACACATTCCCTTCAAGGGAGAGTTTGATGGAAATGAGCAGTCAAGTAAGGAGAAGGATAACCCCAACCTTGCAAGGAGAGCGAGAGTGTCTGCAGGGGGAGCGTGCATCCAGTCTGCAAGATGACAGGCACAGTGTTGCAATCCAAGCCTTGCCCCATTTTTATGTGTGTGTGATGGCAGTGCCCGTACAAAGGAGGCAGGGCTTGAATCATAGTGCTGCACCTGCCATTTTGATCCCCTGCTCTGGGTGCCACAGCAGAGAATTCCTGCAGGCCAATTGCTAAGTGGAAAATCCTGGGGTATGTGGGAACAGGAGATGCTGTTGAGTTGGAAGGGCAGTCTGAGTGTTTTTAGGATGCTGAAGAAAAACAGAAGGTAAGTCGCTGAATGCTGATGAAGTTTCTTTTGAAACTTAATGTTTATAAAAGAGTGGCTTTTCAATCCAAGGTCCTCAGTGTTGCAAACATGGTAATATTTTAAACATTATATACTTGATGGCACCAGGGCATCTCAGGCATTACTCTGCTCTTACAGATATTTGAATGGGTTAAATGCCTCCATGTTTGATTCTGGAATGAAAAACAGAAGCGTTAGAAATAGAGGAATTAAAAAAAAATGATCTGCAAAATATTCATGAAGGAAATTTAGCTCTGGTTCCTGCCACGGGATTATGGTGAAGCTGTTTTGAGTTCCACCTGGCAGGACAGGGCAGAAATTGATCTGTGCCTCTTCACAGTATCCTCACTTTTGTTCTAGGTATCGGGCAGTGGAGAAAGAGACAGCCGCTTCTGCTAAGGCAGACAAAACCCTCTCTGAGTCTGTGAAGATCCAACTCCACATGGAGACCTTTCCGGAAGAGGATGAAAATGCCAGCTTGCTGGGTAAGAGAATTCTGGGCAGTCTTTGGGAGTTGGCTGGCCATCTAGCCTGTCCCAAGACACTTCACTTCCTGAAACCAAGAGGGAGTTTCTTGCTCATTCTATGTCTGGGCAGCATCTGGACTGGAAACTAGATCTGACTTTAGTTCTGGTGGTGGGAACTCTGCCACATTCAAGCAAGCAGGCTAGTTTACGGAGGCCAGGATAGGTTATGCTGGGTACCCAGCTTTGCCCTTTAAGGGAATTGCCAGAAAATGTCTGAAGATTGGCTTCCTGGAGTAGCTGCTCCCCTCTGCCTAATGACAGGGCTAGTCCTGCAAATCAGGGACAGCCAGTCTCTGCCTTGCTGCCTGGTGTTAGTTAGAGCAGAGCAAGGAATGGAAAGGATTGTTAGGCACAAGATTATCCAGCAGGGGGGTTAAAAAAAGGTGAAGAAGATCGCTGTGACTGCACAGCTGAAGCCCTGTGTTCTGTGCAACACAAGTTAAAAAAGATAGGACTACGATCACAGCAGATTTTTTTTTACCTCCCTGTAGATGCTTGTGGGGATCAGAGTGGAAAATAAGCCAAATGCAGGAAGATTAAAGGATCTGATTATATTTGGACTGTAGGGGGCTCACAGGATGGATTCACGCAACAAACGTGTCCCAGTGAGCCACTAACCCTGTCAAGAGTGCCTTACATTTGGATCGGGCAGCCCTTGGCCAGACTAACCAGGCCAGCAGCTGCTTTTGGAGGAATCCAGAATCGCCGTCAGATTCCTCCAGCCCTACCGGAGATCCCATAAACCCTTGGGTCAGAGAATGCTCCCAAGACATCCTTGCATTGATGTCCTCTTTGCCATTGGTCAAGCGGGCAGCAGTGGGTGGGGCTTGGCTTGTGCAGCTGCTGAAGCTTGGGGAGAAAAGTTCTGCACTGGTGGGCCTCGAAAGTGTTTTCGTAACAGGACTGTTTGCCTTTTTGCAGCTTTTACCTTCTGTCCCCTTTCTTGGACTAGGTAGAGCTTGGCCCCTGCCGGACACTTAATTGAATGTTGGGGTTTGCACAGTACAGCTCACTGGAGGCGGTAGTTTCACTCCCAGCTGACCCAGCTCAGTATTTGGTTAAAATTGTTCCTCCATGCTCTAGTGAGGTATTTCTCAAGCTTAGCAACTTTAAGATAGGTGGACTTCAACTCCCAGAATTCTCCAGCCAGCATGCTGTCTGGGGAGTTCTGGGAGTTGAAGTCCACCTATGTTAAAGTTGCCACGATTGAGAAATGCTGTTCTAGTACTTGCTGGGTTAGCTGCTTCACATAACACCCTGGATCCTTCACTGACTTGGTTAAGGGTGTTGCATGTGGAAATAGCCACTGAGCAGATGAACCAATGGTGTAAGGCACCTTTCATGTTCCTGTGATCCACTGGATGGTTTCTTTTATTCCTGCAGGCAACGGGGAAGAGAGAGAGCCCGAAGTGGAAACCTGTTGGATGGCGAGGCCTGACTACATGGAATTCAATGGGGATTTGCTGGAGGAAAATATGTATGAGTTTTCTGAGATATCTATGGTCGAGGAGGGGAGTCATTCAGAAGAAGCAGTGGAAGAAGCTTCTTTTTGTGCAGAAGGCCCAGACTGCGCCAGCAACATCCCAGACTCCTTTAACGCCCTGAACGACCAGAAAGCCACAGTTAGAGAGAAGCCCTATAAGTGCTCCTTCTGTGGGGAAAGTTTCAAGCAGCGTTCCTACCTGGTCAAACACGAGAGGACCCACACAGGAGAAAAACCCTACAAGTGCTCGGTGTGCGGAAAGAGTTTCAGCCAGAGTTCTCACATCATTACGCACGAGAGGACTCACACGGGAGAGAAACCCTACCAGTGTTCGGACTGCGGGAAGAGCTTCAACCGCAAAGCGAACCTCCTGGCGCACGAGAGGACCCACACGGGGGAGAAACCCTACGCGTGTTCAGACTGCGGCAAATGCTTCAGCCAGAGCTCGTGGCTGATGGCTCATAAAATAATCCACACCGGGGAAAAACCGTTTAAGTGTTTGGTCTGCGGAAAGCGTTTCAATAACCGTTCGAGTCTTATTAAACACAAGAGATCCCACTCGGAAGAGAAGCCGTATATTTGCTCGGACTGTGGGAAGTCCTTCAAGGAGAGCTCTAAGCTTATTAAACACCAAAGAATCCACACGGGCGAGAAACCGTACAGATGCCCGCTGTGCGGCAAAGGGTTCTGCTTTAAGTCCAGCCTGAGCCAACACGAGCGAACGCACACAGGAGAGAAGCCCTATGAGTGCTGTGTTTGTGGGAAAACCTTCCGGCAGAAGTCGCACCTCATCAGGCATGAGAAGATGCACATGGGAGATAAATCGTACAACTGTTGAGACTGCCGCAAAGCCATCAGCTGGGGCTCAGGTGTCACAGGATACATGTGCTCCCTACAGGAAGAGATACAGCTAGCATTCTGCCAGCCCCCGTAGTCTCAGAAGAAAGGAAGAAAAGCAAAAGAGGAATCGGGAATGCAGTTTTCTGCGGAAGGACAGTGAGCTCTGTTCTGATCTGGGACTTGAAACAAATTCATTTAAATCTGCTTTGTAAATCTTTTGCAATTTGTTTTTTCTAATAAAAAAACCAAAGTAGATCTCCCAAACTTAGTCTGTCCATCCTTGTTCCAAGCTTCTCAGTCCAGACTCTGCCTCCTTGGCAGTCCTGATGGGAGTTATTAACAGGGGGCTGCTTCCTCCTCCAAAGCCAGTGGGGGGCATCTTGCACAAACTGGGGGAAAGAGACTGACCCAGTGATGGGGAAAGGAAAACAGGTAGAGGGGAATTGATGTCCTGGATGGCATCTCCGCCCTGCAATATGTTTTGTAACAGGGTCAGACCATGTTGGAGGCACATTTTATATCTGCTCCATAACATTTAAGGTGACTTTCACAATTGTTATTTAAACATTAAAATATAATTGTTTTTAGATAATTGCACTATAGAGCCCCTAAGCTGTAACTCAAGAAAGGCCACACAGGGGATCAAAAGTCTTTTCTCAATAGAAAGCATATAGAATATTGCAGCTGTTAACATACACAATACCAGTTTAGTATATTAATAAGAAATGTATGGTTTGGTAAACTTTTAATAAAAATATTTCAGGGTGAAATGGAGTTGCGACTTTCAACATTTGCTCTATTCTACAATAAATTGTTTTCCTATTATTGTTGAACTTTGCAGCATTGCCACCATATATGGAGGCATTCAATTTGTTCATTGCATTTTCAGCATTTTGTAGGAAAGTTACTCATTTTGCCAATCAAGACTGGAGTAATATACCAATGGTAAAATAACTTACACCAATTCTCTCCAAGTATAACATTTGAGGTAAATTCAATATATTTTTCCACTGGAATTCCCAGAGTTTCACCTTTATATTCAAATTTTGCATTCACTTAATCACGCACTCTTTCAATTGTTCAGCTTCAGAGCTGTATTTCACTAATAAACTATAAATTGTGCCTAACATGATTCCCTGAACCAAGAGGTGCTAAATTGTGAAAAGGAAACATTTGAGATGTCAAAAGCCTTTCTCTAACAGATGATCTGTACTGTCTCTTTTAAAGGAACAACATTTGAAAAAGGCACTTCCTTTGCCTTTTAATGTCACCCTTTTATCCCTCCCTGCTCAGGCATTCCTCAAATACACCAGTCTTTCAAGCCATTTGCACAACAGCTTGTGATGGGACTTGTGGAAGTTGGCAGAACAGTCAGAGCCAATCTACACTTCTCCAGCTGTCTGAGAATGCAAGAATAGGTCTCCAGCTGGAAACAACCCCCCGCTGTCCCTGTATTTTTCTTTGCTTCCATGCTTGCTTAAAAGAAAGAAAGAAAAAAATAAACCTGATTTCAAAAAGTTCTAGAACCTGCAAAAGCACTGTTGCAGTTGAGGGAAAGGAGACCACCAGGAACACCCAGTGTTCTAGGTAGCCTGGAAAGTTGAGAAGGAAGAGTGTAGCTTAAAGGGGCCCTTACTTCTTAATCCTGGTTTAATCAGAAACAAACCCTAGTTTGTTCACATGAAAAGCACAGAACCCTCCCTGGGTATACCAGTCCAAATGGGAGAATGCATAGATTATAGAAGAGTTCCTGAAGATTTCATTGAAATAGGATGCCCTTGTGAAGAGGAAGAAAACCTAGTTTTGCATCCCAGTAATCCTAGGATTAAATGAAACAGGGTCACATCCCAACATGATTACCTTCCCTGGATCCTGTCTTAATCTAGGAGTGACCTATCAGATGTGTGGCACGACAGCTCCCATATCCCTCCTGAGGATGATGGAGTTTAGAACCCCAAACGCATCGAGCCCTGGGTTGTGGAAGGTTAGCCTGTAATGTGGACCGCCGAGAACCATAAGCTGGCTTCCCATTTGATCCACAGGATAGTCTGCCAAGACAAGAAACTACTTAAGTGACAACGGATGGCCGCTACAATGGCGGGTCTGCGGAGATCCCCCACTTATATAGATATGCAAATGTATGGCATGACATCATGCCCCATGCTCCTCCCTCCCTTTCCTCCACGGCCAATCATGCAGGAGCAGGACGGCAGGAATACAATGCCAGGGGCAGGGCCAAACAGGTTTCTATAGTGACGCAGTGGTGCGGGAAGAGGAGGAAGGTGAAATGGGGCCGTCATGAGGAGTAGCAACTTGAGTTTTTCTGCCCCGAGCAAGCAGAGCCATGAATCAAAGGCCAAAAGGGAAACCGCAGCAAGCATTTTGGCTGCCTCCTTCCCTCCAGCTGCCTGCAAGGAACTATTTAATTCCTGCTCCCTCTCCAGGGTGAGGCAGAGAGAGACCGTAGAACTCCAGAAGGGAATGCATGAGAAGAGACCTCTAAAGGACATCTAGCCCAACCCCTTGCCAATGCACGAAAGCTGGCCATGGGAAGTGGGTGTCAAAAGAAGTCAAGACGGCAGTCTGTCTGCTTTTTATGGGCTTTGATTGTCCCATGATGGTCTACTAAGATGCCCAGATCCTTCTCTCAAGTCCTGCAGCCCAGCCAGCTACCAACTATTTTATATCTGCATTTGACTTTTCCTACCTCAGCACAGAACTTGGAATTTGTTTACTAGATAGAACCCAATGACCGTTGATGGGCTTGAACTATCTAGAGCAGTGCATGGCTGGCTGGGGAATTCTGGGAGCTGAAGTCCACACATCTCCAAGCTGCCAAGGTTGACAAACACTGATCTAGAGGCTTTTGAACCTTGAGTCTATCTACTGAGGTGTTAGCAGTCCTATATGGACTTCAACTCCCAGAATTCCCCAGCCAGCACGCTTATCTGGGGAATTATGGGAGTTGAAGTCCACCTGTCTTAAAGGTGCCAAGGTTGAGAAACACTGCCAGTGAATAATAAAAATGTAGTTTCCATTTTGTTCCTTCTCTCTTCCAAAACAGATGGTCATGTGATGATGCTTTTCTTCTGGCTGCAAGCTGAATGGTTATAGGTCTCCATCCCCTCTCTACAACATCTGCAGGAATTTTTGGCCCATCTGGAATTTGGAGGACCTGCACCTCTGTGGTCAGACTCCTGCTTTTCTCCCAATGGGTCCCTCTCAACTTCCTGTTGTCTGCAGCTCCTTTGTAGCCCAGCTGTTAGTTAGCTAGCACAAAATTCTGAGCCACCGGGAATTATCAGCTTAAGTTCTTGGAAGAGCTTTGCCTTTAAAAAATAAGAGGGGTGGGTGGGCTTTCCTGATTGAAATTAACTGGAAATGCAATTCTGTTTAGTTCACAGGAAGCATTCGATCCAACCTCTTCTCCCTGACATGCTAACAATCTGGGACAGTGTTTCTCAAGCTTGGCAACTTTAAGATCTATGGATTTCAATTCCCAGAATTCATGCCGGCTGGGGGATTCTCGGAGGTGAAGTCCGGACATCTTTGCCAAGGTTGAGAAACACTGTAATAGAGGGTTGTAAGTATCAGTGGGAATTGCAAGGATCAGGTTACATTTGGGATTGAGGAAAAAGGAACAAAATAGGAAGGCTGGTGGTCATTACATTAGCAAAGCCAGTGATTAATATTAAATGAGGCATTTGACACAGAAATGTATTTTATCTCTGGATTGGCTAATGCGATTAGCATGCCTGGTGGGACAGTGGAGGCTGTGAAGGGTTCTGTTACTGCAACCTTGCAGTAAAGGCAGTGTTTGTACTCGGTTTGTGTTTCTTGTCTGGACTACCTTGAAGGGCTGACATCAGTCTTGCAAATCTGAAGGCATTTCTCCCCTCCTTTACGTTTACTTTCCAAAAAACTAGGGAGCGTCCCTTCTGAGACCCTCCCCACGCCCCTTTTGCTTCTGTGGGCTACATTTTGCACGATGGTGGTCTAGTCTGCGGCTCTTCCTCCTGTCCCCCCAGGTCATTCCCAATACCATTACAGTCTGTCGGAGCCACTTCTGCGTATTATCTGTCTGTTGTGGACTTAAAATAGGTTTCGCCCGTCATCATGCTGGATCTTGCATATCTCCACCAAGGTCACCTTCCTTACTCTCTGCAACAGGTTTTCCAAGTGATTTTCCCTCTTGGAAACGGTGAAAGTGCAGACCTGGCTAGTTTCAGCAATGTTGCTGCATCGTGCCCTTTCAAAACAACATCATGCTCCAAAAAGCATGAATGAAGGAAAGGCGGCTTTAGAAACCTCATCACCCTCCATGAACCACAGTCATTGGGGTGGGTGGGGTTTCTTAATCCATGGAAGCTTCCCAGAGGATTTAAATTTCTCAAACATGGGTGCACAACACACAGCCTTATAGCTATTGCTGAACTCCAACTCCCAGCTGCCTCAGCCAGTGGGACTGATCGGGAAGAATGTTGGGAGATGTAGTTCTGCCATATCTGAAAGTCCACACATTGTACAAACATCGTTTCCCCAACTTAGTATCGCCCAGATAGACTGAACAGCAACATTTTCTTTTGTGCACTGCTCAGAATTGTATTGTTTGAGTTGGGCAGCCATATAAATGTTTCAAATAGACAGACAAACTCCCAGAATGCCTAGCAAACATGGCCTCTAGGAGGGTGGGAACTGCAGGTCTACAGATTTGGATGGTGTCCTAAAGGGGACCAAAAACAAAAAAGGAGCAAGAATAGCATTGGGTGGTAGTCATAGATAGAACTGTGGAGTTGGAAGGGGTCCCCAAGGATCATCTAGTCCAACCCACTGCAATGTGCAGGAAAATCAACTGAACCATCCTCAAGAGTTGGGATTAGTCCTACTCTCTACCCTCTCCTCATGTGTAGAGACGTCATCTCTTTCGAACACTTAAAGAGAGTTTTTGACTGGCCTTGCCCTCTTTGAGACACGGTTCACCTGTTTATCATGGCCACAAACTAATCACTAAACTTCCATCAGTGCCAGGCAAGCCAACATCCATAAAAGCAAACTCTGTAAAACGCTTTCAAACATAAACCCAAAGAAATCATCACCTTTTCTGTTATAACCCAGAATTAAGTCCCATCGAGGGTATAAGCTTGCAATTTCTCATTTCCAACACATTCCAGATGGAGTTATTTATGCGATCATTACATTCAGATCATGCCTTTTCTCCAGGTACTGAAGATGGTGGCCCTCTCTTTCTTAGGCCTTCGAAGAGCTCTGTGGGGAAGATTAGACTGAAGGGTTCTCCCTGGTTTAAAGTCGCTGCATAGAAATAGAACTCAAAAAAAATATGAGTGACTTCTCAGTTTTAAGCCCCTATTCTTGCCCCCTTCAAAGCCTGAGACGTACCGTGGCATTAAAGTTGCATGGAATTTACAATCCTCCAAATTTAAGTTGCACTGCAGCTCCCATCATCCTTTGTTCCTGACCACTCTGGTTGGGGGATGATGGGAGCTGGAATCCACACATTTCTGGAGGATCCATCCCTCTGTTAGTAAAATCTATTTTATGAGATGTAGCAACACTGTTGGCCCTCAGCACATGGTGTTCACTGTGCTGAATACTGTATACTGCCTCTGAATGGGGAGGCTCTATTTGGGTCTCCTGGCCATAGCCAGGACTTGGGCACCCCGATGCAGCTTTCCCACCCCCTTGATCCAGAGAGCTTCCAATGCTTTCAGAGTTGCTTTACGCTGAAACACTCCATTGATTTAACTAGTCCAGACTTCCTCAGAGCGCGTGCCACAGCGTTGGGACTGCAACTCCCAGAATGCCAAGTACGCATGGCCAACTACTTCACCAGCTAAAAATTCTGGGAGTTGTAGTCTTGACACATTGGAAAGGCACGTCTTGGACTGAATGTGTGCAAATCATCTGCTCTTCCATCAGAGGCATCTGTGTTGTGGGGAGGGAGGATAGGGTCAAAAGAGTCAAGATGGTGGCTGTGACTGTGCATGCACCTATAAAAAGGCGCAGGGCTTTGATTGCAGTTTGGACTGCCAAGGTTGGCCTTTTCCCTTGGTAGATGATGTTCTTTTGGCTATAAAGTACTATTATTTGTTTTAGGCTGATCATTCCCTAAATAAAACCTCTTTTCATTAAATTCTCAATTTGTAAAAAAAAAAAAAGTTATTGGAACAGACGAAGCTCCCGGTTTCATCTAAAAACAAGTCACCTGGTTTGCATAAGAAGAGGGTGAGCTAATGTACAAACATGGCCTTCAGGAAAGGGGTGAAATCCTGGCTGTGCCAGAAGGCCTGGGGGCTGGATGGGGGCTCGCACCAGTGGAGGTGGCTCGTGGGGTGGTTGACCTTGCCCCGCCCCCGTCATCTTGAATGTTTTTAGTATTTACATACAGGGTTTGTTGTTTAGATTTGATTTTTAATGGATTGCAGTAATACCTCGGTTCACGAATGCTTCTGTTCACGACCAATTCGGTTTACGAACAGCAGCGTTTGCAAATTTTTGCTTGTTTGCGAACTCCGCGTCAGGTGACGAACACGACCCACAGCCATCTTCCTGGCTCTGACACGTGGTCGTGGCTTCCTCTAGGTGAGATCGCGGTCGCAGACAGACACTTGCTGTGAAGCTT